CTTCCCATGTTGACTTAGGAGCAATAGGGGAAGCTGGGCAGTGACGCTTACCCCTGTAGGATGGGGGTCAAGGTAAAGCGGGTGATGCAGAGCATGGAGTGATGGGTTCTCCACATCCCCTACTGGGACCTCATGGATTTGTCATGATTTGTGATGAGGTCCTTAGTCACATTTGAAGTTGACACATCAGAATAATGAGTTTCCTTTAAGTATGACTCAGCTTAAATCCAGTCCTAAAACTTTATTTATCAATGCCAAATCCCAAACAGCCTGTACAGCTTGTAAGATTTTAGATTCCAACCAAAATCAGTCTTCAAAAGTATATTTTACTCATTAGAACTGGAACAGTAGTTGCAAACTATTGCCTTATTTCTTCAATATCAATATTGAACGGTTAACTGGGGTTTGTGGGAAAGAATTATAAAAAATCTCAAGGTTTATTTTTGGTGGGAGAAACACGGGAATCAATATATTCTGTCAAAATCTATTAATGTAATCCCCCTTTCTTCCTCAATTAAAGCCTCAGTGTTTATGATGACATTGTGAAGGGATGTAGTGCTTCCGCCTATAAAGCAAGACATGGCTTGTTAAAATAAACCCACACATTCCTTTCTTCTTTTGTTGTAGACATGCTTTCAAAAATGGCATTTGGCTTTTTCAATGGCATAGGACAGGCCATTAGTCCTACTAATAGAGTTACAGAATTGTCAGATAAATTTGCTGTGCAACAGCCGAAGGCCATAAAGCTATTCAGATTCACTTTATGCCCACGGATAGTTTCTTGGAGAATTTATGTAGTAGTATTCTGGTTATACTCAGTCATGTCTGAAAACCCACAGAAATCATGACAAGATCAAATTACTTATTAGATTTTTTTTATGTTTGTGTGTTGCATTAGAAGCCTTCCCTCACCCACTTTCAAAAGACAAAAATCTTTCTGGTTTAGTTTTTTTTTCCTAATCCATTAAAGGAAACAGAATGTTCAATACACAACTTATTTCTTTAACCAATTGCTACTCGATATTCAGAAATATTACATCATTACTTAATGGTGATAGCTTGAAGAACTTGTAAGTTATCTCAACTCAATAGAAATTATGTTGAGAGATAAATAGAAATATGATTCAGCTTGAAACGTCTCGCTCTGTAAATGGAATAGTGGATTTTGGAGGTTGTTGTAAATTTTGAGAATCCTGGAAGCCTTATGAAATGCACTCTACATGGGGCTGCCCTTGAAGATGGCCCGGAAATTTCAATTGGTACAACGGGCGGCAGCCAGGCTACTAACTGTAGCGACTTAGAGGGGACGATCAACCCCCCTGTTTAAGGAGCTCCATTGGCTACCATTCATCTTCCGGTCCCAATTCAAGGTGCAGGTGCTTACCTACAAAGCCCTGAACGGTTTGGGACCCACCTACCTGCGTGACCGCATTTCTGTGTAGGAACCCATGTGATCTCTTAGATCATCTGGAGGGGTCCTGCTTGCGCTCCCTCCTCCTTCGCAGGTGTGATTGGTGGGGATGAGGGAGAGGGCCTTCTCTGTGGTGGCCCCCCAATTCTGGAACTCACTTCCTAAGGATATCAGGCAAGTCCCCACATTGGCAGTCTTTAGGAGGAGCCTGAAAATGTGGCTGTTCCTGTGTGCCTTCCCTGATTAAGGAAATAATCCCCAGCAAAATGTCCTCAGAAGCACTTTAACTTCTCATAGAATCATAGAATCAAAGAGTTGGAAGAGACCTCATGGGCCATCCAGTCCA